GGTATTTATTTCTAATAACACTACAAATAAAAGAGTTAGTCATCAAACATTAAGAAAATTTTTGTTTTACTGAATGAACTATAGCTTTTCTAATTGAGAGCTGATTTATGAAATGACATTATGAAGTTTATTGTGATATTTTTAACTTTAAAAACAATTCTTTTTGTAGAATCCTATATTCTTAATTTTTAATTTAAACTGTTTTTGTTTTTCTTTCTGACTTTATATATATATATATATATATGAAGTGTAAAGTTATAATTAAGGGCTGGATTTGAATGTATGGGCATGTTTTTTTCTTAACTGCCATGATGGTGAAACCTTGATATACACATGATTTGGGTTCAAGTAGATCAAATTAAGGTATCTATTAACACATGTTTATGATTTTACTGCATATTTTGCAGATTTGACCATTTTTGGGACTAAATAAGTGCTTTATAAATTTTATAGTTTGAAAAAAGTAGCACTTGCAATCATGATAACAAATGAGTCTTTCTGCTGTCTTAGTGGCTTTCTTGTGCATGCATAGTAGGTGAGAAATATCACTCTGCTATCTAATTTCAAGTGAGTGCATGAAATTCAAATGTTCTAAATTTGAACAGACTAATGGACATCACTCCAATTATGTCACTGTCACATTTGGGAGTAAATGTACCCAATGTAATGTAATGGCAGTATTACCATTAATGTTAGTACATTTTAGCTAAATAACTACTTTAGAGTATATTTGCACCCTGAGTGAAAATAATAAAAGCAGACAATTTTGTGATTCTTCACATAATAGATTAAATTAAAAGGAGCAATGATTTATAAAGAAAAATTTATTAATGAACTTACATTTGAAGAATATATAGTGAAATACAGTAGAGCGTCGTTTATCCGAATCAATTGGGGACTGTGGTTGTTCGGATAATCGATTATGTACGAAAAAATAGTTTAACGTATCCGATGTTGAAATTTTTCTCCATTGTGTGTCGCTTTGCGTTGAATTTTCGTCAATGTTAAGCCTAACGTAAACTTTTTAAAATAATAATCATGGCTACTGTATCATTAAAAATAATTTCTTTATGTTTTACAAACAAAATAAATATATTGAAAAATATAAACAAATAAAAGTTATACTTTAGAAATTAATCTAGTATCAATAACGTTCGATTCAGCAGGACACACAGTGCTCAGAAAAACACCACACAAAAGTACGAATGCTGCCAGCTAAAACACACACCAACAACAAAAATATTGGAGTAGCCAAAGATTGCAATGCCACAGCACTAGCGAAAATTTAAATTTTGCTAGTCAATCCTTTGCCACTTGGAATTCTTTCAGATAACTGACTTTCAGATAAACGATGCTCTATTGTAATAGCAGACATAAAAGAGAAAATATATAATGTAACAGATAATTTCTATGGATGGTGAAGTAAGAACTATTAAAATTTATTCAGTAATCAAAATTCCTATATCTTGGATATTTAAAAACTTTATGTATAATACATTTCACTTTTGATAATGCTAATATTAATTTATATTTTAATATAAAGATTATTCCAACAATATGTGAATATCCTGCAGCCTACTAAATGCAAGCACATATCTGCAACATTATGCTTTTAGAAGATTATAGCAACAAAAATTGCATGAGACTCTGGTGAAAAACTATAAATAAACTTTAATAAAAAGTAAAATACATCTGGATACAAGTCCAGTTTTGCTTGCCATGTCCAATCACCAGGAACAACTATTTCCATTGCTGTTTTACATATTTGTGCAGAGGCATAGCCTCTAAAGAAAGGTTGTCTCTGCAGTGGAAATAGCTGTTCCTGGTGATTGGACATGGCAAGCAAAATTGGATTCTTATCCAGATGTATTTTACTTTTTATTAAATTGTAATTCTGCCAGCCCTTTTCTACATATAAATAAACTGTTATAATATTAAATGCTTCCAGAATATTACTAATTGAATTCACTTTTAAATTCTAATACAGTGGTGCCTTGTATAACATAAGCTTCAAATAACAGACACTGCAAACAACGGACTTTCTGTTTGGTTGTTATGTGACTCGAGCAATGGACTGGCTGCGAACAACGGACTTTCCGTTTGGCAGTTACGTGAGGCAAACAATGGACTTTCTGTGAAGTGCGAATGATGTTTTCACTCTTTTGCCATTACCAATGACAACCTGCTATTTTTATAATATATTAGTATTATTAGAAAATATTATTAGTATATCTAAAGTACAGAGCTCCCGTTGGGATTTGGCTTGTTCCCTTGTTTATTACGTACATCACCTCAGTGCAGGGTATTTACATTTATTCAAGTGTTGTGCAAATCATGGCTTCTAAAAAAGCAGAAAGGTGATTTCAATTGAAACAAAGTAAGACATCATCAGAAGGAGTGATAGTTGACAAAAATTTCCTTGTTAAACGGAGAGAGATTCAGGAGTTTACCAACACTCATTAGAGAGGTTGAGGCGCACGTTTTAAACGTGTAAACGTGTACGTGTGACGTTCGGCGCCGCTTTCCCATAAGCCTAAAAGTTTGACGATGGTGTTTGGAATGTCGAGCGTGATTCCACCGACTATCCAAACATCATTGTCAAACTTTTAGGCTTACGGGAAAGCGGCGCCGAACGTCACACGTACACGTTTAAAACGTGTGCCTCAACCTCTCTATTATCAAACAGAGCTGAGGCCAACAGGATCAATGATCTCTACAATGAACCCTTGCTCGTCATTTCCGACAGGTGTTGAAAAAGAGAGAGAAACAGACCACCCTGGACATGATTTTCAAGCCAGCTGCCAAATAACAAAGGATGGAACAAGAGGAGTTGACCCTGCAAGCTCCGGTAGCCTCTCCTGAATCTGACTCCGATTAAAAACAATAAAAGGAGACCCGCTGCAATGTGTAAAAAGTCTGTATCTGTATGAATGTGTAAAGAAAGTTCCTCCACCTCCTTCTCACATCATCTCACTACCCAGCATAATTGGTGACTGGTCCATTTTCATTTTCTCTTTTTTTCTTTTCTTTTCTTTTTTTTTTAATGGAATTTTTTTTTACGGTTATTTTATGCTGCAGAACGAATTATATGTTTTAACATGTATTTCTATGGTAAAATGTGTTTCGTATAACAGACTTTTCACTTAATGGACATGCACCTGGAACGGATTAAGTACATTATACGAGCCACCACTGTATATTTATTACCATCCTTTGAAATTCTTCTTTTGAGATGTACATTAATTAAAAAGTTTATATTAAATTTAATATTTTTTTCACTTCAAAACATGTCTTTAAGATGTAAGAGAAATCTTATGATGTAACTTCCGTAGGATGGAAATTTTCTTCTTTTTATTTTAATAAGCTACTCTTTATAGATGTTTTCTATTAAGTTGATATCAATGAAATGAAACAGTTTTCTAACCAATTCCAATAACTCATAATATAACAACTATATGTGCTATAAAAATTTACATTTTCAACATTATAGGCTCTCTCTCTCAACACAAAGAACAACCATAGACAGCTAATTCAAAATGTTGTTTACCTGGTACAGTGGTACCTCAGGATACGAAATTAATCCGTTCCGAAACTGAGATCGTATCATGAAAATGTTGTAAGGTGAATCATCTTTTCCCATACGATTACATGTAAAACCAAATAATTCGTTCCAACGCGAAAAACATACTCAAATTAAAGCCAAGTAATACATTAAAAAAAATAACTGTAGTAAGAAAAACAAATGAAAAATGTGAACTAATGTAACGTTGTATGGTGAGTTTTTGTTCATATCGTGGAGCAAAAATATGTTCGAATTTCATGTCGTATCCCGAAAATTTCGTATGCTGGGGCATTCGTAACCTGAGGTACCACTGTATTTTTTTTTTTTTTTTATTGTAAAAATTTGTTCTCATTAATACTTCTTTTTACTAGGTTTTAATTATCTTAAATGGTTTTTTTAAATTTAGACTAAAATTTAAAATATGGAAGAAACTGAGTCATCTTCACTCTTCCGTCTTGTCCAATCACAGCAAATGTCTTCCATAAAACAAAAAATAATTTCCAAAATGAGAATTTAAGTAGAGAAGTTCCAAAATTTAATTTCATGGCAATTATTTAATATAAGATGTATTTATTTTGTATAAAATACAGGATGTTTATAAATGAATGGTGCAGTTTTAAAAATTAATAATAAATCTATTTATTACCTTATGTGGGCAAACTTTACAGCATAAGCAGCAGCAACTGTCCAAGTTCACAGGAATGTATGCAAGCTTCTTAATCGTGTTCTTCACCAACGCTGGATTGGACGTGCAACAGCAGACAACAACCTGCTCCCCTGGCCACCCTGTTTGCCAGATTTAACACCCTGCGATTTCTTTTTTTGTGTGGGTTTGTTAAAGACTGAGTTTATGTATTGTATTGTAAGTGCCCTTACCCCTTGAGGAACTGTGTGATTGGATAAAGCATGCACTGCATACCATCACAGATGACATGCTACACTGCGTATGGGAAGAATTTGATTACTGTGTATGTGTGTGTCGTGTGACCATGGGTGCACATATTGAAGGATTGTGATTAATGCATAAAAAACTTGGACAGTTGCCGCTGTTTGTGCCCATATAAGATAATAAATATATTTATTATTAATTTTTAAAACTGCACCATTCATTTATAAACACCCTGTATATTGAAGAATCCAATTGTATCTATTCTTTACTTTCATGATGATTGAGGGGGATTTTTTTTAAGTTTGCTTGAAGTAATGGAGAAAAACTTTTAAATTATCATAAAATGAATGAATGAAAATTTCATTTCCATTCAATAAAATAAGAAGTTAGATCTAGTCAAATTATTTAGCAAATGCAAGCAATTTATTACAACTTAATCTAGTAATTTGGTGTCTGGTAATTGGTAACATTCTAACAACTGTAGATTCATCAAAATTTATTAGTAATCAAAACACAAGCTTAATAAAAGATGATGATAAATTTTTTCAGGTTGACAGGAGACGTTTTTTTCTGTCAACAAATGGATATCACCGAACCTCTTACGACATTGCGTTGTTTACTGGAGCAGCGTATTAACACATCATTAGAAGATTATCAATTTTATTTACAAGATACACAAGAGGTAATTTTAAATGAATTGAAATTTGTGTTTTTTGTTGTTATATATAAAGTCAAATTACCAGATTAGGCTTAAAGTATATTAAGGCTATTTTAGTTAATTGATGATTTTTGACTCAGGTGCTTTAACACCATAATTTGCTGCAATAATACTTCACAGATATCACAAAATAGTGTTGAGTATGCCATAACACTTAAGTGTATTACTGAAAGTGCAAAAAGCTCAATAACTCTACATTGATAATGAAGTAGGGATGCCACTATTAGAAAAACATTAGAACTTTACATAAAGATAAATAATTGAGCCACCATCTTGTTTAAAGGTTAGTATTTAAAAAATAAAGATTGAGTGGAGATTTGATTAATAAAACTGTTGAAAGTGCCATTTTAGTATGCAGAAGTTCCCAGCTATCTCTTTCTGAGATAACAGGAAAAAATTTTTAAAAAGTAGAAAAATATTTATTTTATTGGAGTTTAATCCTCCGTTTACTTGATGAGATGGACGTAGTCTGAAAGCACTAGAACTTGACTTACAGCTTGTTTCATGAATATCAATAGTTCTAAAAATGTATAGTAGCAAGGACAGTTCTATTAATGAAGGAAACATATTGTCAAATATGTGAAAAGGTCGCTGTGCATTACCAAAAAAGGAGCTCTTGAACTTAGTTTCAGAGCTCCAACTGAATACCATGCACTGCCTGATCAAGATACATGATATGATTGGTAAATGCTTTTTTTTTTTTTTATTAAACTTTGTTAAAACAAATAACATATATATTACTATAATTTGTAGCATCTTTTGTGTATTTTTACGAAATATATTTAGAAAGACTTGCATTCATTATATTCTTGTTTTTGACTAAAATGTTTTTGATTCCAGAAATTTATTTTATGTGTTTTTGTAATATAAATTTTAAAATATTTTGCAATATAAATTGGTTAATACATTAACCTGTATAACTATAAATATTTTGATTGAGATTTAAATTGAACATATAACTTAAATTTTTCTTTCAGATTTTTTATTACTACTACTATTACTACTACTGGCTTTATTTAGCAATTTACTGAATTTTTCTTTACTAATATTTATTTTTTAAGAAATATTATGTAAATAAAATCAGGATAGTAACTCTAATTGATGTATAAATTAATGTTAATTTTACAGCTGGATGCCAGTAAAAATCTTGTTAATCAATGTGTTCAAGGAGAAGGTTTAGTGCAGATAAATGTTGAAATTACAAACAAAGGTAACATTGTAAATGCTTACAATAATAATAATTCATTTGAATAAATTTTAAAATATGATTTGACAAGAAAAAGATTTCAATATTTGTAACAGTGAATAACTACAGCTAATATGTTATATCATAATTACTGTTCTTAAGCATACCTGTGTATCATAAGACTGATGAAATTGCATGAATTTCATCACAAATTATTTTTCTAAGAATGTATCAGAAAGCAGTATGCTTGTCTGTGATATATTTTTAAATTATTAAATTAAATTTCACTAGTGTGTAAACAATCATGAAAACTAATGTTATAAATCATTAAGTTGATTGAAAAAAATTTTTTACTTGTGTTTAGATACAAAAAAAATTAATATTGTGGATGTACTAAAACCTGCTGAAGAAATTGTTGTTACCCCTGATACGACACAAGGTAAAATTTTAATTTCTATTCACTGTTTTGAAAATATTACTTCAGTAGCATAGTGAAAAAATACAAAATGCATTTCACTAATTATTCAAATAAAACTCTATAAATTACATTTTTTGTATTTGTAAATATGACATCTTATTTCAACTTACTCGTTTATTAGAAATTATACATTCTAATATTTCTGGTTGAATATGCATAATTCTATTAAAATTAATAATTTTGTAATATTAAATATTTACATATCATAGGTGATAAAGTGGGAGAAGGTCCAGTCGTTAAAAAAGTTGTTATACCAGTTATGGAAGAAAATGAACAAATTACTCGTTGGGTTTTATCAACTGAATATCGTCAAGAACAGGAAAGGTTAAAAATTCCATCAGGTTGGTTTTTAAAAGTTTTTTGAAATTTATAAATTAAAATAATTGTATAAAATCATTTGCATAGACTAATGTTCTGATATAAACTACATGATGTGTACATCATGTAGTTTATATCAAAAGTACATCATACAGTGTGATCAAAAGTTGCTTTGCAGTGGGCAGGGAAATGGGAGGAGCTTCCAAGAACAAAGTAATGACATCATATGCAAACCACAAATTTTAATAAACTCCTGTTTGACGTGCACCCTATTTTAGGATATCACTCTGAAACAGTTTTCCTTCAGATACAGTAAATCTCACACAAGAAATTCATCTTTCATTTTATTACACCAGGTGCCTGAAATGGCTTCTATTTTCAACTCTTCTGCTTGAAAAAACTCTTTGCTCAATGGTGAGCATGATGAGAAACTACACAGCATCATTAAGAGATCAATGTTCACGGCATTGGATTGTCTGTTAAATGATAGTTATTACGTCAACGCTCTGCCGAGCCACATAGGCATAACCCACTGCATAGTGAATTTATGTTTGCACTGTATTGTATTATTATCTACAGACAAACCAAAAACTCCAACTTCTTAGTAAAGTATATGCATATAAAAAAATTAAAACCATTAATGTGTAAAGATAAAAACTTACTTATTATTGAAAAATGTTTATTTTTATAAAGCTTTTTATCAATATGAATTTCATTGTTTATAGTACCATTGGCTGAAATCTTTGATCGTAGATTCTATCTGTAGTTTCTTCCTATTTTTTTTCATGAAATATATTCCTTTTAAAAAAACTTTTTTTTAATTTAATTTTTTGTTATAAAATTGATTGTTTCAAAATTATAGACAAGTAAATTCTAAGGTTTTTGTGTGATGGCAGTAATGATACATCCTTTCTTATTCCTTTTAGAACAATTTTGTAATGTTTAGTTCATAAAGTGAGAAGTATAAAATATATCTGAAGATCTATTGAATTTTTTAAATTTTACATCTATTTTCTAACAATTTTCTTATCCTTGTTAAAGAGCTTTCTTTGTATTGTTATTTTGCATTATTAGACATATCTGTAAACCAAACTGGTTTAGAGATGTGTTTGTTGATTTTGACTTGAAGATTTCAAATTTTTGTTATAATCCAAATTATTTTCTTGGAGATATATATACACAAAAATACAAGAGATATATTATATGGTTTTGCAGATTTTATGATTATTATAAATAATAGTAATATGATATATGGTAGATATTAGCAAATATATGTATATGTAATCATTTAAGGCTTTGTAATGAAAATTTGAAAATTGTTAACTTATATAACTAAATGGAACTATATAATTAATAATTTATTTATTATTTGTGTTAATTATAAAAGTAAAAAACTTTCTGTATGTGAGGAATTTGGTAGAATTGCCTGGATTTAATTTTCATTCAAATATATTTTCAAGAATGAGTCTTTATAAATTGACTGTTTGCTATTCTGAGTGTGGCCATTTTGTGGTTTAGTTATGTTACTAGAAAAACTGTAATTCGTTAGAAGATATTGTTCTTATTATTCATAAAAGCTTGACAAACATTAACCTTAATTTAACACCAGCACACTTTGAAAACATTTTTTAAGACTGAATTAACGTGTGCTGGTGGTAAGGTTAATGTTTGAATGTGATAATGTTCTTAATTTAATGTATGCAGTGTTAATAAGTCAGTACAATTTGCATTACATTTGATAAATCTAAATTTTCTGTTTTATCTAGTGAATAGTGAACTGCAAAAATGTATATATTTAGTGATATAACCATAAAAACATATTGATAATTTATTTATTTATTATGTATTATATTAGCTTACAAAAAATAATATAGACACTCTTTTATCAAATGTGTGTGTATAATTTTTTTTTAAGACTTCCTAGTTGTTGTTTAAGATTTGTTTGTTAATTTTTAAAAAATGTTATTTAGGTTTCTACTTTACACATTGTCATAAAGAAAGACAGTTGTCCTATATTGATAAATAGTTTGTTTTAGTAACTCAAAACTTTTTAATTTATATAATTTTGATATTGCCAAACAATTGCTGAAATGTTGGGCTATAATAAAGCTAATTTAATATATAATTTTGGTATATTTCCACTTAAAAATAGTTAAAATAAGTTGAAGAAGGAAGCAAAAATTTAATATATCTAAATTTATTGTGAACTGCAGTAGGAAATAATTTTTATTTGATTGATTTAATAACTGTTCTGTATGTTTGTTTATAATTATATGCTTTTTATTCGTTATTTTTACCATTACCTGGGCTTAGATCTAAAAAAATAATTTTTTTTTATTTTGTCTTTGTTTGTTAAAATATTTACCATGAAACATAGTACAGTACATGTAGGTGAAGGGATCATAAAAAATGTGAACAGTGTATTTTAAATTTCATTAATTATTGAATGTTCATTTAATATCATATGTTTGATATTAAGTTGTTTTTTAAAGAAATATTGGGAGCATTCCAGGATTATTTAGCAGCCTGTCTTAGACTCTCAAATCATAATTTAAGGACATATAACTCAAAGTTGTGTGTCGAGTTGTGATTTGTGAATCTTTAAAGCTGGTGTTAGTTTGGAATTTTGGCATGATTCTAGTATTTTTTAATATGGCAACTTAGTATACTCAAGCATTATTCTATTTGCAGCAGTTATGTCTAGCCTCAAGTGCTATTAATCTGTATTTAATTAAAATATAATTGAATGTTTAAAATAATAAGAAAATTTTATTTTAATTAATTATTAGATAACCATACAATTTATTCATTTTTTCTTAGTTATATTAGTTTGCTTAATATTAAATTGATGCGGCACTTTCAGTTTTTTATTTTTATTTTCCTTTATTTTAATTCCGAATAAACTGTAAATTTTTGACTCATTTGAATATTGAAATCATTTGATAGCATGCCAAATAAATTGTATTTGCTCTTTATGTTCAGTCATGAGTGTAAGAAAGCTAATTATAGATTATAGAAAAAGATCACAATTCTTCGAAATCGTTATTTTAGAACCGTTGAATTGGACGCAAGATCATGTACAGCATTGGATTAAGTGGGCTGTTCAACAGTTCAACCTGCAAGGGGTCAATATGGACTCGTGGAATATTACCGGGAAAGAATTGTCCGAATTAAGTCACGCTGATTTTGTTAAAAAGGTGCCTTACGATCCAGGTGATTTCTTTTGGACCCATCTCGAATTACTTCGCAAATGTAAATTTGTCGGTGAGTGTTTAATCTACCAATGCATCATTATAAGAAAAATTATTTTATAATTTAATTTAAAATAAGTGGGAATTATTTTAAATTAAAATTATTTGCACCATTATATAACAAATAAGATGACGTAGCTTAAGTTGTAGTGTTAGAGTATTACATTTAACAAGTATAAATGAAAGCTCAAATTATTTGCAAATGAACAGAATTAATTACCAATGAATAATAATCTGACAATTGATTGGTTCATTTGATTATTAGACCAAACTTTCTCATCTAATATTGAATATCTCACACACAGCATTGTCCAATATGAATGCTATCACTTTAAATTACTGTAATTATGTTAACTGTTGTCCAAGAAGTGTGCAATATACACCAATTGATAAAGAGTAACTGTCTTGAGTTTCATCTCTTATCTGCATTCAAACATCTTGTCATTTACTACCTATGGAAAGCACTGTAGATGAAAATGGTGCTCTGCAATAGAGAAGGCATTTTATGAAAGTGAAAAACCTATCCTAGAAAGTCAAATCACTCATGAGTAAGCTGCAGTAGCTGTAGAAATGTGCTGCTATGTGAGGAGTCTCAATGAATATACCATAGAAAGCCTAGGAGGAATTTGAGTATCGATTGGATATGTGCTACATGATTCTAGGTGCACGCGTTGAGAACTTGTGAAAGTTGGACAATTCTTCAATGTTTTAAAGTGTATTACAATGTTCTTGGGTGATAATTAACATAATCACAATAATTTAAAATGGTAGCATTTGCTTTAGAAGACCCTATACAGTATCTGTCTCTTTTTATATCAAGATGGAAAAATTTTTGTTAAACCTCAGTACTTGGGTTTTCCGGCCTATCCTCTTGGCTATCAACACAATAGCAACAGAAAGCATGTCTTAAATTCTAACATCTCATATTGAATTTGAGTTATTTTCTGTTGCTATTTTGTTGATACCTGTGAGGATGGACTGGAAAGCCTGGAAGTAATAAGGTTTAACAAAAAATCTTTACATTTCGATTTACAAAAAAGTACATAGTTGTACACTTTTGAGGAATTTGGAGAAATAAATTTGCATACATGTTAAATGCCTGATTTAATTACTTAAATACAGAGCTTATTTATGAACAAAAATAACATAAACATTCTAATCATTTAATCTTGTGTGTAAGTGAATAAACTAAATGGTTTTAAATGTATTTCATAATCAACTTTTGATATATCTGAGCTTTATAAACAGTTTACTCAAATTTATAAAGTAAAGGTTGCATTTACATACTGAAATTCAAGATTAACAGATTTTTTTATACACTTGAATATATGTTACACTTACAGTAATACAGAATATTAGAATACAGTATAGTGTCGTTTATCCAAAAGTCAATTATCCGAAAGAATTCCAGTCGGCAAATTTAAATTTTTGCCAGTGCTGTGGTGCTTCAATCTTTGGTTATGTCTTGGGCTACTCAAATATTTTACGTTTTTGATACTAAATTAACTTCTGAAGTATAATTTTTTATTGTTTTTATATTTTTCAATATATTTATTTTGTTTGTACAAAATAAAAAAANGTTCCAACGCGAAAAACATACTCAAATTAAAGCCAAGTAATACATTAAAAAAAATAACTGTAGTAAGAAAAACAAATGAAAAATGTGAACTAATGTAACGTTGTATGGTGAGTTTTTGTTCATATCGTGGAGCAAAAATATGTTCGAATTTCATGTCGTATCCCGAAAATTTCGTATGCTGGGGCATTCGTAACCTGAGGTACCACTGTATTTTTTTTTTTTTTTTTTTTTTTTTTTTTTTTTTTTTTTTTTTTTTTTTTTTTTTTTTTTTTTTTTTTTTTTTTTTTTTTTTTTTTTTTTTTTTTTTTTTTTTTTTTTTTTTTTTTTTTTTTTTTTTTTTTTTTTTTTTTTTTTTTTTTTTTTTTTTTTTTTTTTTTTTTTTTTTTTTTTTTTTTTTTTTTTTTTTTTTTTTTTTTTTTTTTTTTTTTTTTTTTTTTTTTTTTTTTTTTTTTTTTTTTTTTTTTTTTTTTTTTTTTTTTTTTTTTTTTTTTTTTTTTTTTTTTTTTTTTTTTTTTTTTTTTTTTTTTTTTTTTTTTTTTTTTTTTTTTTTTTTTTTTTTTTTTTTTTTTTTTTTTTTTTTTTTTTTTTTTTTTTTTTTTTTTTTTTTTTTTTTTTTTTTTTTTTTTTTTTTTTTTTTTTTTTTTTTTTTTTTTTTTTTTTTTTTTTTTTTTTTTTTTTTTTTTTTTTTTTTTTTTTTTTTTTTTTTTTTTTTTTTTTTTTTTTTTTTTTTTTTTTTTTTTTTTTTTTTTTTTTTTTTTTTTTTTTTTTTTTTTTTTTTTTTTTTTTTTTTTTTTTTTTTTTTTTTTTTTTTTTTTTTTTTTTTTTTTTTTTTTTTTTTTTTTTTTTTTTTTTTTTTTTTTTTTTTTTTTTTTTTTTTTTTTTTTTTTTTTTTTTTTTTTTTTTTTTTTTTTTTTTTTTTTTTTTTTTTTTTTTTTTTTTTTTTTTTTTTTTTTTTTTTTTTTTTTTTTTTTTTTTTTTTTTTTTTTTTTTTTTTTTTTTTTTTTTTTTTTTTTTTTTTTTTTTTTTTTTTTTTTTTTTTTTTTTTTTTTTTTTTTTTTTTTTTTTTTTTTTTTTTTTTTTTTTTTTTTTTTTTTTTTTTTTTTTTTTTTTTTTTTTTTTTTTTTTTTTTTTTTTTTTTTTTTTTTTTTTTTTTTTTTTTTTTTTTTTTTTTTTTTTTTTTTTTTTTTTTTTTTTTTTTTTTTTTTTTTTTTTTTTTTTTTTTTTTTTTTTTTTTTTTTTTTTTTTTTTTTTTTTTTTTTTTTTTTTTTTTTTTTTTTTTTTTTTTTTTTTTTTTTTTTTTTTTTTTTTTTTTTTTTTTTTTTTTTTTTTTTTTTTTTTTTTTTTTTTTTTTTTTTTTTTTTTTTTTTTTTTTTTTTTTTTTTTTTTTTTTTTTTTTTTTTTTTTTTTTTTTTTTTTTTTTTTTTTTTTTTTTTTTTTTTTTTTTTTTTTTTTTTTTTTTTTTTTTTTTTTTTTTTTTTTTTTTTTTTTTTTTTTTTTTTTTTTTTTTTTTTTTTTTTTTTTTTTTTTTTTTTTTTTTTTTTTTTTTTTTTTTTTTTTTTTTTTTTTTTTTTTTTTTTTTTTTTTTTTTTTTTTTTTTTTTTTTTTTTTTTTTTTTTTTTTTTTTTTTTTTTTTTTTTTTTTTTTTTTTTTTTTTTTTTTTTTTTTTTTTTTTTTTTTTTTTTTTTTTTTTTTTTTTTTTTTTTTTTTTTTTTTTTTTTTTTTTTTTTTTTTTTTTTTTTTTTTTTTTTTTTTTTTTTTTTTTTTTTTTTTTTTTTTTTTTTTTTTTTTTTTTTTTTTTTTTTTTTTTTTTTTTTTTTTTTTTTTTTTTTTTTTTTTTTTTTTTTTTTTTTTTTTTTTTTTTTTTTTTTTTTTTTTTTTTTTTTTTTTTTTTTTTTTTTTTTTTTTTTTTTTTTTTTTTTTTTTTTTTTTTTTTTTTTTTTTTTTTTTTTTTTTTTTTTTTTTTTTTTTTTTTTTTTTTTTTTTTTTTTTTTTTTTTTTTTTTTTTTTTTTTTTTTTTTTTTTTTTTTTTTTTTTTTTTTTTTTTTTTTTTTTTTTTTTTTTTTTTTTTTTTTTTTTTTTTTTTTTTTTTTTTTTTTTTTTTTTTTTTTTTTTTTTTTTTTTTTTTTTTTTTTTTTTTTTTTTTTTTTTTTTTTTTTTTTTTTTTTTTTTTTTTTTTTTTTTTTTTTTTTTTTTTTTTTTTTTTTTTTTTTTTTTTTTTTTTTTTTTTTTTTTTTTTTTTTTTTTTTTTTTTTTTTTTTTTTTTTTTTTTTTTTTTTTTTTTTTTTTTTTTTTTTTTTTTTTTTTTTTTTTTTTTTTTTTTTTTTTTTTTTTTTTTTTTTTTTTTTTTTTTTTTTTTTTTTTTTTTTTTTTTTTTTTTTTTTTTTTTTTTTTTTTTTTTTTTTTTTTTTTTTTTTTTTTTTTTTTTTTTTTTTTTTTTTTTTTTTTTTTTTTTTTTTTTTTTTTTTTTTTTTTTTTTTTTTTTTTTTTTTTTTTTTTTTTTTTTTTTTTTTTTTTTTTTTTTTTTTTTTTTTTTTTTTTTTTTTTTTTTTTTTTTTTTTTTTTTTTTTTTTTTTTTTTTTTTTTTTTTTTTTTTTTTTTTTTTTTTTTTTTTTTTTTTTTTTTTTTTTTTTTTTTTTTTTTTTTTTTTTTTTTTTTTTTTTTTTTTTTTTTTTTTTTTTTTTTTTTTTTTTTTTTTTTTTTTTTTTTTTTTTTTTTTTTTTTTTTTTTTTTTTTTTTTTTTTTTTTTTTTTTTTTTTTTTTTTTTTTTTTTTTTTTTTTTTTTTTTTTTTTTTTTTTTTTTTTTTTTTTTTTTTTTTTTTTTTTTTTTTTTTTTTTTTTTTTTTTTTTTTTTTTTTTTTTTTTTTTTTTTTTTTTTTTTTTTTTTTTTTTTTTTTTTTTTTTTTTTTTTTTTTTTTTTTTTTTTTTTTTTTTTTTTTTTTTTTTTTTTTTTTTTTTTTTTTTTTTTTTTTTTTTTTTTTTTTTTTTTTTTTTTTTTTTTTTTTTTTTTTTTTTTTTTTTTTTTTTTTTTTTTTTTTTTTTTTTTTTTTTTTTTTTTTTTTTTTTTTTTTTTTTTTTTTTTTTTTTTTTTTTTTTTTTTTTTTTTTTTTTTTTTTTTTTTTTTTTTTTTTTTTTTTTTTTTTTTTTTTTTTTTTTTTTTTTTTTTTTTTTTTTTTTTTTTTTTTTTTTTTTTTTTTTTTTTTTTTTTTTTTTTTTTTTTTTTTTTTTTTTTTTTTTTTTTTTTTTTTTTTTTTTTTTTTTTTTTTTTTTTTTTTTTTTTTTTTTTTTTTTTTTTTTTTTTTTTTTTTTTTTTTTTTTTTTTTTTTTTTTTTTTTTTTTTTTTTTTTTTTTTTTTTTTTTTTTTTTTTTTTTTTTTTTTTTTTTTTTTTTTTTTTTTTTTTTTTTTTTTTTTTTTTTTTTTTTTTTTTTTTTTTTTT